ACACACACACACACACACACACACACACACATTTACTATAAACACCTAAAGTACACTTAAAGCAATGTTATGTAAAATCAATTACATTGGATATGTATTTGTAATGATTTACTTAAGTTTCGAACCCTGAATTGTAACATAGGCTTAACTTAAAGTACATCACCATTTTTATTTTATTTTTATTTATTTATTATTATAGAGCTTCTACAAACTTGAAAATCCGTGATAGTGACCCGTTTAACTCTCGCAGGTATTGAAAACGATGACTTTGTACTAAGGTTTACTTGCAAAGAGCAACCCAAGAGTTTCGAGCTCATTCTTCTCAGGCAAATCTGCCTTACGAATTAACTACAGAGATTAATCAATATGACGATTTCGACGAAATAAAGATGACTTATCTGCCAAATATTTATTTTGTTTTTCTTTATTTGGGAAACTTTCTTACATAAAAATAACACAATCTGAGTAAGAAAATGTTTTATTGCAAATACGCCATTGAAGCAGTGAAATGAAAAGTTACGAAAAACAATTACTTAAAGTAATCTTTGGACAACAGTGTTCCCAGTTGATCCTCCATTTTTAAAAATGGATATTGCAGTGAAACATTATAGGCTTATGTAATTGTGGCTTGCTGTTGAACGTGGTTGTTCAGTCTTATTCTAATCTCTCAATTTTCAACACCCAGCCGTATTTACTTGTTGAATTGTCCAATTCTGGGAGTTTGATTTCCACCACTATGTCGGGCAAGTCATCAGAAATCTGGTACTGTACATAAAAATACAAATCATATTATATAAAATCTAGCACAATGTAGTATATTTTTGCGTAACGAATCGTCAGGCAAATTTGTACCCTTGGTGTAGGTAATAAGGCTACATCTGCAAAATGTCAATTTCCCAGGAGAGAGGTTTAAAAGGGTTCCCTACTTGAGATAGAATGCCGTTTGATTGAACATTAATTGCTCGAAAAGTTTCTTTGAGTTTCTTTTTTTGTCATTCCAAGTAACGGGAGGAATAATATGGGCAAGGAGGGATATTATGGGCCTGCCACAGCGCCCTTCACTCTGAGACATAAGTTGACAAGTCCCATGTGCCTGTAATTTCATCAGCATCTCTTACCCTTTGAAACGGGAACGCAGTAATGCTCACATTACTGCTTGGCACCAGAAATAGGTAAGGTGGTCGTGTTTCCCTGGATGAACTCTTTCCCAACTCTACTGCTACTAATCTCATTGAACCACTGGACCCTAAGAATTATTTTATTATTGCGGGACATTTTTAATGCTTAGTTGGCATTGAGGTTTAATTGGTGTCGCATATTAATAAACTTGTAAATATCATATAATAACTAAAACGTTAAAAAGCCTTGTTTTCTCCAGGGAATTAAAAGTCAGTTTTGTTAGTTGCGCATCATGAAGCAAAAGTTGTCCAACACGGAGAGTGTGCGATGGAATTGCAAGATTTAATTCCGCCTACCCCGTTCCATCACTGGGGGTCATGCGTAGGCTGGGATCGCACGAAGCGTTACGGTTCCATGTTTATATGGCGAATGGCTTTGGAGTGTAATTTCCTGCCTGACGACTTATTTCCTGAACGATCGATAGTATATAGGCATTATTTAGGTGTGCATACGCCATCGTCTACCTCATCGTCACTTAACACCGGGTGAGATGGAGGTCCACTTCACTTTATATATTATAAAAAGTATTGTCCGCTCGTTGTTCCCTGGTGAAAACGAAGCTTTATTTAGAGAGGATGCACTTACTTTAACTTGAATACGACCATCGCGTTTCAACAATTCTACTCTATACTTTCCAGAAATCATTAATCTCGACAAGCCAGTGAGTTTCAGTTTGTCATCCTCTGGCCATTTTAAGAAAATTGTGAAAACTATGTGGATATCTGATTTTGGTTCCAGATTCGGGTTTCTGTAATGTTTTCGTGCTCTATCTATACAGGTATACCAAGCATCAGCATTGAGAGTGTCTTGTTGGGATTCCCAAGGTGTCGTTTTATAAATTGCTTCACCATTAATTTTCAGCCAGTCGCCCAATTGCAAAAGTCGCTCTTGAAATATTGGTGCTATAATCCCTTCCTTGCTTGGTCCAACATTGATCAGTAAGTTTCCTTAGAAAAAAATAAAATTAATTTAGTCATAGAAATAGGAATGTAGTCAATCGACACCATTGTCACGCTCACTATAGGATAGATTATATATGTTACTAGCTGTTACCTGTTATATATGTTACTGTGTGTGTGTGTGTGTGTGTTTGTGTGTGTGTGTGTGTGTTTGTCTGTGTTGTCGTTAGTAATTCGAGTAGCCTGCTGTAAAAAATTTTTCTTTTTTTTTATAATATTAAGTGACGGGACGAACAAGTCGTGCATGGTTTTATTGGTTTTTTTATGTAAAGAAGGAGGCAAACGAGCCGACAAGCCACTTGATGGGAGGTGGACATTTGCAACATCAGATGAACTGCCTATGCGTTGCCAGCCTTTGAGAGCCCAGTAAACACGCTTTTTGAAGAACCCCATGTCATAGCGCAAAGGGAACACTTGAGGAGGAAGATCATTCCACATCTTGCAGGTTCGAGGAAGGAACGAACGAGATGCCCGTGTTGTCTTACAATTCCAGGCATCTAAGATGTGGGGATGGACCTACTCCTTTGGCGGGAGGTGCGATGGTAGAAACGACGGGGACGGAAACGGTTTTCCATACAAATTTTCATTCCCTATTTCTTCCCCTTTAAGATTTATTTTTGTGACAAAGACTGTGTCCTTCTCCTTGGTCCCATCTATTTATATTATTCTCTATACCAAAATTCATAAAATTTGGTTAAGCTTTTTAGGCGTGAAAACGTAACGAAGTTACTTTCGCATTTACAATATTAATTTGGAAAATTCGTGCGCTTGGTGTAATAAACACCAAAAGCATTATGTTATGTGTGTGTATATATATATATATATATATATGTGTGTGTGTATATGTATATATATATAAATCTTGAAACAATGTATAATAAATGAAAATATCTCAAAACCAAATGTAAATATATCATATTTCAGCATAAAAAGTTATCGACTAAATTCGTACGTAGAATGGCTTTAAGTCTGGTAATTTTAAGTCATCTCAGTTGGGGTTGCTTCCGGGAATTCCCGGTTCCGGAAATACCGGGAAATTCCAATACTGGTTAGGTGCAATAAGTCGGCTTATTCCCAGTTCTCACCACTGGCTTTGTTCCCACTAGTAACAAACGGGAAAAAAATCCCATATGTTACCAGGTGGTAACAAATGGGATAAAAAATCTCAGTTGTTGACAATGGTGATTTCTACTGGCGACAAATGGGAAAAAAATTCCAATGGTTCCCAGGTGGTGACAAACGGGAAAAAATGTCAGTTGTTGCCATAATTATAAATCACATAAATAATCAGATCATTTACAATTATTCAGAAAGTCTGGACACTATAAATAGAAAACAATTCATAGTTAAAATAAAAAAATGCAAAATGTTCAAGTTTAATTATCTAATTTTGCAGTTCTTTATTTTAAGTGTTGTTTTATATTTATAGTGTCCAGACTTTCGGAATAATTGTAAATGATGTGATTATTTATGTGAATTTTAATTATTGTATGGTATTGGAAATATCTGATGTTTAAGACTAATTTTTTTAATAATATCTATACTTTTATTATTAAACTCGAATTTTATTTTATTACAGTTTTGATGTCGCCAGAAGAAAGTCAGTGGTGACAACTGGGAATAAGTCTATAAGTCCCGGTACCGTGATTATAAATTCCCGGAGGAAAGGAATTACCTACCTACTATGAATAATATTGTTCGTCGGCAACTTCGCACGGACGAACGTTACTGCCATTTTCTATTTGTACTTACGGAATTTAGGCCGGTAATTTAGTCCTTTATAATTTCGTAATAAACTGAAGGTTGAAAAGTAATGAACTTATAATTGAGTTGCTTTAGTGGTCTTACCTCCACAGCTCACCGTGGACACAACCTTCGCCAGCAACTCTTCGAAGGTCATAATTTGTTCAGGTCCAATTTCAGCCCTAAAGCCCCAAGATTCTTTATCTAAAGTAAAAGCATTCTCCCATTTGTGATTTAATAAGTATCCTGTAATGAAATAAATTAAAAAAGTTTATTTCAGTAATATGTGGAAATATCAACAATAAAATCTACTACCATAATCGGGATACCAGATAGCGTAGCCGGGTATTTACTACCTGTTGGTACAACAGGTGTAGCGACGAGTAAACAAATACCTATTTTTGTGTAACTAATTTGTTTTACATTGACAAGCCGCAATTTGTTAATAACAAACCAATCAACTAGATGGCGCTTAATGCACAGATTTTTATGGATAGTGCCGGCTATTCTTTTATTTTGTTTAGGATTAGCGCCATTTACCCATACAATGTTATCTATTGATACGAACATTTGTCAAAGTCCGAAAATAATTTAAATTCATGATCAACGTGTTAAAACATATTAATTTAATGGCTACTGTATGTCTAACTTTTATTTATTTAAATTTAAATGTGACTAACAAAATTTTATTTAAATATAAGCGGCAGATATACAATCCATATTTGTATTGCAAAAACGAGCGATTCGTTCTGTTTATCGTTTAGGTTCTCGGGTTTTTCTCAAAGAAAACTTTAAGAGCCCACGCAGACCGTAGACTTTTAATCGGCCAATAGTTTAGTCGGGTTGGGCTGCTAGTGCGCACACTGGGCCGACTAAACAGTCTGGTGAGCGCGCAAACTAGCACACTGTCGGCCGATTTCTCTGGAAAAAATTTGCTAGTTGATAAGCTGCTCTTGAAGGGCACGGTTGCGTAAGGAAAATGAAATTGTCTAGAAATGTTATTATTGCTTTTATACAACGGAGGAAAAGGATACAGAAAAGAAACCGAGAGAATTGGGTGCATCCCATCTACAGTGGTAGATTACGAGGAAAATTTTACGTGTTGCTATCCAAATCATTAGACTTCCCAAAACAATTTTTTGCCTATTACCGAATGAGTATAACCAGCTTCAATGAACTTGTCAATTGCCATCATAACACGACCTCCCTGCACTGTCGCTCCGTGTGAAGTTTTAAAAAATAAAAAAAATAAAACAAAAATAAAAATAAAATCAAGTGAATCTATCGCCCGAGTCGGCCGACTAGATGATCGGCAAATGTACGCTATTCGACGAGCGCCATACTGATTAGCAGTCGGCCGATAGAAAAGTTTGAAGGCAATCGGGTTATAATGTGCGTACTTGCGTACATATTCATACTTATTACCCGACCCTAAACTATCGGTCGATAGAAAGTCTGTAGTGTGCGGGGACTCTAAGGAGACTGGTATCATTACAGGCGACATAGTACATTTACTCAAATATTTTGTATGCCCGTGAAAATGTACACAATTTCATTAAGAAAGAAAATGTCCATTAACCTTAGAACTAAGTCCAAACTCATGATATCACGATTTTGTTTAAACGATTATTTTATGGGGAACTGTATACGTTTTTACAATAAGATTCCAGAGCATATATTAAGATTATCATTTCGTGCATTTAAAACTTACATTACAAATATTTGAATTCGAAAGTTATATCACAAAATTGAAAACTACGTATTAGATAAAGATGTATGATGGAAAGACGACTTGAATCGAAGATTCCATACAAATTTGATTCAAAGTGTATTTATTTATTATTCCATAGTATTTAAATTCAATTGAAAAGAGCAATCCCTAGAGTTTCTTTCTCCTTCTTCTCCAGGAAGTCAGCAGAGCGAACGAGTTAAAGCTAAAAATTAAGTGTACATTTATTTTATCTATGGAATAAATGATTGCTACTCTTTGACTATTTTATATTCTCACTTTCTCCGGTGTGTGAATTAGCCATACAAAAATACTCAAAATATCACGAATCGTTTTCAAAAAGCTGGAGAAGTTCTATGAACAAATTAAAGATTTAAAAAAATGTTAAATACCCTCACTTTATTCATATTATTTCGTAAGCTAATAATATTTTAACAAGGTGCTTTGTTTTTATGTGAGGCGCAGCAGTGCTGAGCAGTTAACCGTTTTCTATTCAAAAATAAAGAAATTTGGTTATCAAGTAAATCATTCAAAAAACTTCTAAAGCGTTTCGAGTCAAGAAATTCGAGACACGGCGTTTTTTCCCCCATTATATACAAAGGGTGCGTAGCGCCGTCTTACCCGGATTATATCTATCTTCACAATTCAAGAAGTCTCCATGTTGGCAGTTGGTGTTGTTTCCCCATCTATCATTGACCACAATCTCATCTTTAACAGGACTATCGTTATAGAGCCAAGTTAAGAGCTCCCTCGATTTCCAGTAAACGTCACTTCCATCCCAGTCTCCATCGGACCATAGCACTGATGGTTTATAGGTATTCACTATGTATTGTATATCTGGCCAAACTATACTGTCTGTGTAAACAGTGGTTTTGTATTGTTTCTTTCTATCATTCTTCAACAATTTATTGAACCATTCTGTTAAAGAGTAATACACACCAAATTTTAGGTTATATTTCCTTACTGACTTAGAAACAGCGTCAAGAATATCTATTTTGGGCCCAATATCTACTGAATTCCAGTTAGACCGCCCAGATGGAAACAAGGTGAAGCCGTCGTGATGCTTAGAAGTGATGACAACGTATCTGAAATGCCAGAGTAAAATTATCTGAACATTGAAAATAATTGCATGGGGGTTTTAAAAAAAAACCTGGCGCTCTACTTTAATTGTATAAATCGACTCATCCGAAGAACAATGTCCAATATGATTATACAGCGAAAAGAGGATAAATACATAATTCCGTTATTCAAACTAAGGCCTGTGTAAACGTGTTTTGAGAATTTTTATCTCGTTTCGGAAATATAAAATCGAACAACGGTCGATCTGACATCCACAGCGAAGAAGAATGAACGAAATGTACTATGTTCTGAGGACAAGTAGTCTTGCACATAGATCTTTGTTCTACGGATGAGTCGAAATAAAAATTCTCCTTCAATCTGATTGTCTGAGCGTCTGTTGCCACACCGCGGTTACCGCTTTTGCCAACGGAGTTCAGACCAAGTCAGAACGTATTTCTCTGTGCTTGTTGCTGATCTTTGTATTGGATTTAAAAGGCTTGTTAGGCTTTCTATTGGGTTTAAATGTGTTAATACTAGCACATGTTATGTTAGCACTAGATGATGTCGTAAATTGGCTAAATGACCATAATTTAGAAATAAATTTTTCAAAAACAAAAATAATACAGTTCAGACCGTACCAAAAAGCACCATTGACTATCGACTTCACCTACAAAGACATCAATATAGAAAGTGTCAATAATTTTACGTTGTTAGGGATAGACATAGATACAAATATAAATTGGAAGGCCCATGTAGAAAAGATAGCACTGAAATTATCTAGATTTACATACGCACTCTGGGAACTTAAAAAATCCACAAATGAAAAAACCGCCATAACAGCATATTACGCTTATGCTTATGCATGGCTAAGCTATGGAGTAATTGTATGGGGGAACAGTTCACAAGTAGATTCATTATTAATTTTACAGAAAAAATGTATAAGAATTATAAAACATTTAAAGAATACCGATAGCTGTAAACCGTATTTTAAGAGCTTAGAAATTCTAACTCTGCCATCTATATATATCCTGGAAACCGCCAAATTTGTCAGAAGATATCCAAGTTTTTACACAAGGGAGGGAGATCAACAACGTCGCTTCCCCACAAGATACCCTAATAGACTGATCTTGCCAAAATCCAAAATGGAAATGTATGGATCCGGCCCCCTAGCTATGTCAATTAAAATATTTAACAAAATACCGGAAAATATCAAAATAGAACGAAACACAGCATCCTTTATAAAAAAACTAAAACATTTGCTAATACAAAAAACCTATTATACAATTTATGAATTTTTGAATGATCAAAATTTGAATGATTTTTCAATGACTACTTAAACAAAAACTACAATTTGACATGGCATGACATAATATTTTAATAACGACTGACTTCCATTATCAACTCCTTATTAACAAATCATTAATTGTTCTTTAGCACGTTTTTGACATAATAATAATTTAAGACATGCGTTAAGATTATTCACTTTTTATATTTTCATTGTTTTATCAAATTAATGAATGAATTATGAATTGCATTATATAACAAATTAAGTTTACTATATTTGTACCATTTATGATTTTAATTATTGAGATTTGGATTTTTATATTATATTTAGCGTATAGGAATAGAATTATTGAATGACACAGCATGCAGTGTAATTAAGGTAAAATCATTAGTGCCCTTACAGGGTTCATGTGTTGTAATATTTTAATTGTTAACACCTCAGTGAAACCACATGCAATGATTAAATGAATTATGAATTATGAATTATGAATAATAATTATAACATTAACATAGAAGTATTTTTACCAAAAAACATATAACAACCATGGTACTAAAATCATCATGATATTTATTTTTTTATTATTTTTCAACAAAATAAATATTACAAAACAATACTATTAGCAAAGTTGAAGACTATAATACCCACTCCCGTAAGTTTTGTTTGCAATCTGAGTCCTTTGGTTTGTTGATCTCTTTTTTTGTGAAATTCTTTTGTTTATTTATAATAAAAATAATATGATCTAGCCCTTAAGCGACACTGGTTGATATGAACCAGCGAGTTGTGGGTAGTAAACCTTTAATGTAGCAACGCGTCAACTTAAATATAGTAAGTACTATTGGGTAGAGGCGTAGAGGCCAATTAGTAGAGTTGGGAAAAGGCAAAGTATATCATAACCTTGGTATAATGTGATTTTATCACATGAAAGTCATCAAATATACGAAATACTTGAAACAAATTAAGTAGATGTGAAATTTTTTACGATCCTACATAAAAGTTATCGACTTATTTCGTTCATAGAATCCACGTAGAATCTTTAATCTCTTTCCTGAAAAGTTGTCATCTTGAAGATGTGAGCTTGTTAAACCAAAGGTGCGGTCTTTACCAGGATAGTATAGTATATAGTAGCAGTAGAGCTCCTTGTGAAAGAGAGCGTCCAGGGAAGTACTGCCACCTCACCCATAGTAATGTGAGCATTACTGCGTTTCGGTTATGAAGTGTAGGTACGGGTGCTGGCGACATTACAGGCACATGGGACTTGTCAACTTATGTCTCAGGGTGACGGGCACAGTGGCAGTACCCCTCAGATCTTTGCGATTTAAAGATGAGTGGCACTGCAACTGTAATGGATAGGCGTGTAGCTTACCATCAGGCGCACGACTTATTCGCCCCGTCACATGATATTATAACGTCACATGTTCTTAATCGGGAAGTACAATAGTGTTGAAATAAGCATAACAAGTAACACTAACTTTGCTCCGGAATTGGCAAAAAGCTCTGCCCATTTATCAGGATCAAACTTTTCGGCAGTGAACATCGGGACGAAATCAAAGTAAGACTCGTAATTATTCGTAGTCATAAATTCCTTTATCGACTGGTCACCTAATATAGAAAAATTACACGTTAGATTTTTAGATACCAATTCCTTAATGAAAAATAAAGTACCTATATTACAAAATTAGACAACAGTTGCTTTGAAAATTGGACAAGTATAGGATCAAGATCACTTCAAGCTTGACACTTAAGATTTAAATCCAACTCTATGCCTCTTATGATTAGAATGGTCCAATGCACAAAGTGTCAAGCTTGACGTGCTCTTGACTGTACTCACATATGCATTCTTATAAAAAATATACATGAAAAAAGGTCGATAAATTGTCGTTAAAATTATATAATATCGTTAAACCTAATCGCTTGTTTTCTAGGTTAGGAAGAAGTTTGAACGACTGTTAGGAGCAACTTTGCTCGTTTGCGGCAAGTAACAAAATGTCGAGATTTTGCACTTTCAACGTCGTTTAACTTAACACGATGTATTGCAGCCAAATTCTACTGACAAATTTTGTTCTTCACCTAAGAAACAAACAAGTAGATGTATCTGAACGTTTAATCACACGGACCAACTTATTACCTATGCGCATAAAATACCAGAACCATTCGCTTTTAAAACCTGGCACAGAATACACTCCCCAATGAATAAAAATGCCTATTTTTGCATCATCATACCACATAGGAATGGGTCGCAAATCTAATTTATCCCAATCTGGTTCTGCTATATACTTCGGCCTGTTGTTTAGTTCTGTTGCATTCAATTGAAGCTCTGTCACATTTGATTTTAACTCCCTGGCCGTTGATTTAAACTCTGTCCATTTTGTGTTAATTTCTTCATTTGCGTAAATTGATATGTGAAAGATGCACCAAAGTATCGCCCTCATGATACTAAAAATAAAATTATTATGTATCTATTATGTACAAATATTAGCACGCATTTTAATTGAATAGAATTATCTTTAGCAATGTCTATATCAGATACCCAGCGCGGTGAATGTTTTAGTCTTACCATGGACCAATGATCTTACTTATGACTCACACTTACTTCACTTTTTTATTTTCGAGTTCGTCAATCAAGACATTAGAAAGTTTTACCTAGAATCAGCTCGACGCTTGAAAGGCAAAATGGGATAAGCGACACTTTACGTCATTATTGATTATATATAATGTAATCAGTAGTCTGTATCAGCTAATGTTTCTGATTCCAACGGTGTATATAACTCAATAGGCTTAGGCTTTCCAGTATTGAGCTGTATTAATGGCCAGTTGAACAGAATTTCGAAAAACCTAATTTCAATCTTCTAAATGTTGATGCAAAAAATAAACAAATAGCGTCTTGGCCATGTAAATTATTAGCACCGTACTCATTATGAAGTACACTCTTTTGTGTCGGGGGTTCTTTAAAATGTTATAACGTCAAATATTGTATGAGGACATTATTAGTGATCTAAAAGGTTTATAAGATTTATAAACATTGTAATTCACTAATGGGGTATGAAATACAAAAGGTAGGAAGACTTAGAAGGTGTATATTTTGTGGATTTTTTGGATACCTTACCTGGGGACACTTTTGATGGAAAGGCGATTTTATGTTTACATTTAAATATGAAATGTACACAAAATTCAAATTGAAGACACCCTTGATACTATTAACTTAATATTTAATGATTACACGATGGCTTTAGTAATGAGATCTTAGATTTAATTACGCGCTATTGGGTACCAACAGGTTCTTTGATAATAAAATAACTTACCAATGATCAAGAAAAGCAGCAGCTACCGTTGATATAACACACAAGACTTCACCTGGTCTCTATCTCAACAATAACCAATAACGGTAACATAACAATAAACATGCAATCACATAGGCCCATCCCATTGTTTTAAAGTATATAAACATCCTTATTGTAGAAGAAAGGAAAAATATTTAATGCAGGTTGTTTATAATAACATAAAACAGACATTCTTAACAAGACTTTCATGATGGGAAGAAACATTTAAAGGAATTCAAAATTTCGAATTTTTTTGCTGTGTAACTATGTAATGCATGCTTTCTTAACATCAAATAATTTCAAGTACATAAAGCTGGTTCCGACCAGTTATTGTTAATTGAGGATATCAGCGCAAATGTGGTGTATCTATGTAACCCAAATTACATTTTTTTCCACAATATTACCTTACCAATGAAAAATATTCTTAATGAAAATAGTGTCCAAATAGAAATTGCTAAATTTAATGCAAAAAATTAATAATTAAATGTAGTTTATACATGAAAATAGTATCCAAATATAAAATAATTATTTCCTTCAGTATTGTTCACAGTGATACTATAGAAAAAAAATTGACTTATCTCTATCTATCGAACACTTAAACCCGCAATACATGTTGGCCGAGGCTAGGCGAGTGAAGGCCAATACCAACGTGTAGACAGCCTATTTACCTTGCCTTGCCTTCGTTCGGTGCCACTTGCCTAGCTAGCGGAGAGAAGGCAAGCGTTAACTATGTATACTATGTATAACTATGTATGTATGTGGTAAAATATGGCTCACTTGGCGTGGCTTGTCACGACTCGCTGTCGCTCGCGACTACTCACTTCGAAACGGTGTCGGATTTTGTGCACAAATCATAGGCGCTCGCCTGGTCTCGGCCAATGGTGTACACACGTCTATCCGCCCGTCATTACTCGGTTAGCGTGAGTCGTGACAATAGACGAAAATGACGTTCAGTACAAATCAAGATATTTTCAAGTTGTAGTGTACCAATTTGTCTACGATCGCGTTGGCCTAGACTCGGCCAACATATATTGCGGGCTTTGGAAAAAAAATCCTTCGATCTGACCGGATTCGAACTGATGTCCCTAGCAAAACCGTCTCCTAGCATTAAAAATTTAATTTGAGTTAATAGCGACATCTCTAGCCTCGGCTGGTAGCTGTAAAGGTATCTAACTGGGTGACAAAATACTTTCATGGATTTCTCATAGATGGCGCTACGGCTAAAAAGTATTTGAAAACCAAATACAAAGATCTGACAACAGCACAGTTCCGTGGCTTAGTTGGCATAGCGTCTGACACGGTTTGCTAGAAGACGTCGGTTCGAATCCGGCCGGATTGAAGGAATTTTATCTAAATGTTCGATCTTTGTATTAATAATTCTAACATACTAGTGGAATAATTTCACAAAAATGAATTGAATATCAATTCAATAAAAAAATTAATTAGAATTATTGAAATTGAAAAATTTGAATTGAAAATAGCCTCAATAGTAATGCATTTTTTGTATCATTATTACTTTATTTAATACCATTTTAATACTGAAAGGAAATATTCTGGAAAAAATTGTAAAGTACGGAGCGTCACACGGCGGTTAGACACGGGGAATGAATTATTGTAGATAGGATATTTTGATTCAGAGAGGACATTATTTTAAAATATGAAATTTAATAGTGTTCTTTTGATTTAAGACACTATGTTACTTGTAAGAAATTTATTAATAAAATTGACCCTTTCGATCAGCATCATGAAAATACACGATTTTTTTTATCTGTTCGATTCACGGATGAGGTTAGCAACTTTTTAAGTCTGTAAAGCAAAGTAAAGTAATACTTACTTATAAAAATACATAATATCTCCATGAAGCAAAATATCCTATTTACAATATATAAAGTAATTTTCTTGCGTGTCCCATAGCCGCGAGACGCCCTCTATAAGCGAATTTTAATTTTAAAAATTATAACCCGTTTAATACCTAATCCAGTTGATCTTGTGATATATTTCAAGTGGATGCTGATAAGCAACTTTGTTCTCAGTGCTCATTTATCAACCAACATGATCTCAGTTTTACGAAAATGGCACCTAAATATAGTTTATAGATAGTTTGTTCCAAAACAAAAACTTTAGTTGCCTTCTTGCCATCTCGTAAAATTATCGACGGCGCGGCGTATGGTATTTGGTATTGATTATGTTGGTTGGCACATTATTGTTTATCAGCATCCAAGTTATAATCATTAATAGCAATTCGTGGTGTTTGAAAACTTTATTAATCTTAAAACCAAAATAAAACTAAAACCGTAATTCTAATTAAAGCTAATCTTATATAAAATTTAAACGTACGTAAATTAGAGATCATCTATAATAGTCTCTTTGAAGCTCGTATACCGTTAAGTTGAAATAAAGAAATAAATTGGTAGAAACTCTTCTTGTGGCTCCGCTTTCGAGCGATGCCACACAGGCGTTGCGTCGGCGTTGCGACGACGTTGCGTTGCGACGCTGCGTTGTATTACATATAATCGGAACGATTGGCCACATGGTGCGTTGAAATGGCGCGCGGCGACACAACACGTGCGCATCGTACAAGAGATCGCGAGACGAAGCGGGGAAGGATGGTGCGGTATGTAGGTAAGTATAGTTGGCGAAATATTATTTGCTCCGTTTCGTCTTATTGCTTCATCTTTTTTTAGAATAGAGTACATTGGCACAAAAGAGTGAACCGTCTAGGTAACGCGCGTGCCATCTGTATAGTGCAAACAACTAGTTTAAATACTTTTACGCATTGGGACTTAGTTCCAAATTTGATAATCTTTATGCGTAAATAACTTGTTGAATAAGTAAGAAAAGAATCGGCAGTCGGTATTTTACGAAGTAAAGAAATAATTGAAAACTAGAACCCGTGAAGCATAGCTTTTAGAAGAAAATGGGTATTATTCACAACTAGAAAATAAATAAATTATTGAATTATTTCTTCGGCTCAAACTTCACAATCCACGCGTATTTAGACTTAACAGTGACTTTATTAGGCAGAAATATTTGGAGTTCTTGTTCCTGTCGTATCCACTGAAACATTAATTTATTATTATATTAAAATAAGTGTAACATTAATTATACCTGTTAGTTTCGACAAAATATAGCTCATAGTACTTTGGGTACATACTAAATGCAATTGCAAAAAAGTTGTCATGGTTTTCAGATGCTGGTAGACTAATTCAGTGTAGAATTTCAAGTGAAGTTAGACCCAAAATAGATGTTTAGCCGTATTTCGACATAAAAAATGTGAATTTAACTAGTTCTTTGATTGATAATGAGAATAGAAGATACTGGCAGTAAACGATGTAGCCCAAAACACTATTGATTAAACTTCCCTCGATAATAAAAATGACAAAGTTTCCCAAAATTTTAATTTTTTACTACGAAAAATCAGATTCATTCGGATTTTTATCAGAGATATCTCAATGAAATTTTCTCTCCAGTGTTCTGTAAATACACGTCAGGAAACTATGATCTTATTTTATAGTAAGAGAGAGTATATTTTATTTATAGGAACTTTTTAAACATCGTGTAACTCACGACGTGGTTACCGCTCGCGCTTCAATGTCTACGCAACCGGTATATCGCACGTTGCAACTAATACAGTCACTAAACGAAAATATCGTATTTTTTCTAATTTAAACTTATTATCAGAAAAATTAAAGTTCATTTCATGAGAGTTGACTTTTTCGTTTAGTGACAGTATAGGTTTCAACGTACGACATCATATTGCCATGATGATTAGGCACAAATTATTTAACAAAAAAGTAATAAAGGTACAACTTACAAATAATTCATTTTTGTTGTTTTCACCCAATAACTTGAGACGATAATCGTTATAGTCCACAAGAAATGCAGCGTCAAAGATTGATAGCACATTGTTTTGCGGCCAACTGGTGAACACGGCGTATATCATTCTTTCTCCAATGGCAAAAATGGGCTTGCTAGAGAAGTACTTTACCTCTTCATTAAGAGAATCTGTTTGCACTGACCAAGGGTATGATCCATAAATTGCTTCGTCGTTAATTTTTAACCATTCTCCCAGCTGCAATAGTCTCTCTTGGAATATTAGCGGAATTGTACCATCAGGGGCTGGCGGTACGGCAATCAGAATGTTATCTGGCAAAAATATTGTAATAAATAATCGATACCTCACGCGTAAGTTGTGGTATGTCAAAATACCATTTTTTGCTTTTTAACTTAAATTTACCTTTTTTGCAAATTATATGTTCCATATTTAAAAGTAAAAAAATCATTTCGCACCCCTCCTGGAAGAATGGCATAAGTGAAGTTACGTCAAAAATGTTTATTGCTCCATTAGAGATACTCATAACTCACGTCCTCTCCAATAATTCTAGTAACATCTACTAATATTGTCGATAGAGTTACAAGAATTGGAGAGGATGTGGGTAGTATTTTTCTGTATCCAATGGAGCAATAAACATTTTTGACGTAACTTCACTTATGCCATTCTTCCATGAGGGGTGCGAGTTAGTGTTATGTTTGCTTTCAAAGATGAAACCTATAATATACATAAAAAATATACATTATTTAAGTTAATAAGCAAAAAAAATGTATTTTGGCTTACAACACGTTACGTGTGAGGTTGCGTAATGGTCATGGGAGCAAGAAATTGGTTATAGATTTTATTGAATATCACGACGTTTTACTACGATGGCATTCAATATTTTTTTAAATTACTCCACAAGTTTGTTATACGTGAGGCGTTTGTTATATGTAAATTTTAATACAAAGACTGAATGTAAAGATAAATTCCTTCGATCTGACAGGATTCGAAAATGCATCTGTGTGCGAGACTAAGGCCACTGCTTTACCAATACGATTTGAAGCTCAGTTGGTAGAGTAGTGACCCGAGTTTGTCACACAAATGTAGGTTCAAAATGTTTAATTAATAATTATAACAAACTAGAGGAAATTGGCTACAAAATGATTTTTTAAAGTAAGATTGAATATTTCACGTAGCGCTATTCTAATTACTATTAAAACGAACTAAACGTAACTTAAAATAAATAAACGTTCATTATGTGTCAATAAGGATCCAATGCACAAAGGAGAATAGTTTTCCCAAGTCTCATGGTTATTTTTTACTTTAATTGTTTAAATTGATAATACAAAACTTCGTACCCTTGGTGTAATTAGGTACTACTACATTATTCCACGAAGTCTGAGGAGATAGTGGAGTAAGTACATCAGGCTAAAAGCCAGATACTCTCAGAGTGTCGAGCGGGTAGAGTCCCGCCACAACGTGAATTTTAATTCGTTTGTGCTGAGAGTGCCGAACATCTGTCGACCTTCATGAAGGAGGAGATTTGGCCGAAGGGTGTCTATCGGTGATTTCGCGGCCAGTTACCTGACGCCAGATTGCGCCACACGTCGACATGTGCAATTCGTGTAAGTTATTTATACTATAATATTGTACTATATTGTAGGTATATTTGTTTGTCCTTAAGGTACCTATATTTATATGGGTCACGTGGCCTGAATTAAATGAATAGAAGAAAAAATAGTAATAAAGCCACATATCATATACGTCTTACGTTCAAAATGCTTTTGTCACATGAAAGTCAGAAAAATAATACGAACTACATGAAACTAATTAGGTCAGTATAAGTGAAATTAATTTTATAACCCTCCTATTTAAACTTTTCTCCTGAAAATTTGTCATTTTGCAGATGTGGACTTATTACACCAAGTGTGCGACTTAAACTTAAGGTTTGACATTGTTGTTGCTCTTTAATTGCTGAAAATCACGAGTTTTTGAGACCAAATATATAAATCAAAGATCAAGTACTAGTTTCTGGATCGCGTCCACACAATTGAGTTTGATTACTTAAGTAACTTCATGAGGATCAGTACTTAGCGACTGAAACAACATTATCAGTGGCGTTGTATGGGTCCTCGCGTGTGCAGGTGCGGGGACACGCAGGGCAGGACAAAAGATGTACCATTGTCTGGGAGAGACACCACACAGACATGCGCTCTCCGAACTGTAATCCCACCCATGCATGCATTCCTTGCTTCGGCCGACTTGGGTCCGAAGCCTATTTAGGGACTTCCAAGTTTGCCAAGGTAGCTCATGCCGAAGAGGGAGGTGTTCCGAGGATGAGTGATGCCGTGGGGTATCTCTCTTTCCAGAGGCTTGTTCGGGCCTGGTTTAGTTCCCCGTCCAGAGGGTTACACTTCTTTAATAAAGCTATGGTACTCTGTAGCCTCGGGATTATCGGCATGTGATTGTGTAATGGGTGCTGCGGGTAGGCGAGTGCTTACTCACATCCTAAACAAAGAAATTCAACTAAACGTTTAATAAGCTCTTCTATCCCAATAACGTCGTCTGCACGCGTAGATCTCCTGTAAAATTTGGATACCATGTCCAATGACAATTCTTCCTCTTTCTTATATACATCAATATTTTTATCTGAAATAATCATATGAAATATTAGTCTCAGCCATCAACAGAAAATATATCAAATGTGCCCAAAATAGCAGTAACAACTTTACGATTTCTTTAGTATAATTAATTTCAAGTGATTGTTCACCGTTTTTCGCCTCGGTTCCAAAATGTTCATTAGTTATTATGTTTATCTTAATAAAGCAATTTCGAAGCGTTAAGACCTGGTGAAAGGATTCAAGAAAAAACATTTTGTATTTAACATACATTCATTAAAGGAATAGTATATATAGGTAATATATACATACATTTTTTTTTTTCGTAAGTACTCGTATACCTGGGAATTCGTTGACCGTTGAACGTAGGAATGAGAAGATCGTGATTATTCTTTTCATGTGATAGAAATATATTTATAATCATACCGTAACGAAGTAACTCCTCATGACAAGGAGGCACCGCATCCCAAACATCAGTTACTACCGCCTCAAACCTTACTGGGCTTTTGTTGTAAATCCATGCTACAAACTCCGGAGAAGCTTCGTAGAACTGTTGAGCCTCCCAGTCTCCTTCAAATCTTAACACAGAGATTCGATATTCATTAACAAGCTGCTTTATATCAGACCAAATTGTCGTACTATGGTTATCGACATGCCCGTATTCGTTCTCCAGCGCAAGAGGCCATTGATGTAAAGAATATGAAACGCCTAATCTTAGCCCTTTTTTAATTGCAGATTCCGATAACAAGCGCATGACATTTCGTTTGGGGCCTGTTTGCACTGCGTTCCAACTAAATGAATGCTTCGAAGGGAATAGGGCGAAACCATCCTCTGATTTCGCTGTAACAAGAACGTATCTGTAAAAGTTAATAAAAGTAAAACATCGTCAATCATGCAATAATAAGTAATTATATGCAACAGTTAATTTCTACAAACACTATGTGTACATGTTGAAAAGATTTTTTTTTATCGACAACAACGAACAAGTCATGCGCGATCAGTATGACAAGCCAGTATGACCACCAATAAACGGCCCTCGTGCTGGTATCTAAACACATGGGACTTGTCAACTTATGTCTACGGGTGATTGGCGCATTGGCATTGGCCTGGTGCATTGGCGCAAAGGATGACCCTTTCACCACGATGGCAAGCATATTATATCAGAACCTGTTCAGTATGACATTTTACTTACTTACTTTTGGTTACTAGTCGTGTGGCTAAGTTCTGGGCTGCGATAATAATAGTGTATGCCATCGATACGATAAGAAGAAGATTATTGGTATAAAACTTATACCTACTTTGCACCAGCTTCTTTAAAGAGTGACATCCATTCATCAGGATCGAAGAATTCAGCTTTGAACTTTGGTGCCAAAGTAGCATAAGTAAATCGGTCTCCGTAGCGTTCTCTTACATCATTTAGAGCATGCCATTCACCTGAAAATAACGTCATTATGACATGACATAATACATACCTATTCAGAAGATCATCGTACAACCATCGTATACATAACATTATTACTAATGATTGTATTAAAATGCTGATTTGTAAGGAAATAGTATATTCGCTTCTAGTTGCCGGTTGCTTGTATCCAATACAAGACAGACGGCGCCCTTTTTTTCACTTTGACTTTATTTTCACAATTTGCTGGATAAGGCAAAAATAGCTTATAATCTAATGAATGTGCGTAAACATGTGTTCTGTTCTAAACTCATACACATACCAGCCAAACAAAACACATGCCAAACTATTGTCACTAGTTACAGGTTTAAAGATTTCAGGTGACAGTTGTTTATTGAATAAACATGAAGGTCTCGAAATCCAAACTTCATACCGTCTAAAAAAGACTTCCAAAATGATTCTTTCTCATATGGTACAGATAGAACACTCCAATATACGTGAATGCCAATTCTCGCAGTGTGATACCAATCGGGTATGGGTCGTGTGCTCAACTCTATCCAATTGTTATAAGAAGGCTTTGGGATACATGTCTCCGGTTCTGGATTAAAATGACCTTTCTCCAAAATCTTAGCATCCTGGTATACGTGGTACGCAAATGCTATAAACAGCACAACTCTTAATAGTGTAAAATAGCTAGAATCCTTTCTGAAGAATAATATGGCGTCGACGAAGCAGTAACCAATGTAAATTTCAACGAACATGATGCGAAATATAAATCAGTTACTCATGTAAATCGAGATTAAAATCAATAACATTTTATTCTTTTTCAATTCATGTTAAATTAATTCTAGACACACAATTCTACAACTGGATGTTTATTATTATTTCCCAAAGAGAAATATTATGTTATTTCCCTAATGGCGGTCACTAATAGGCATAGACATATGATTTCTCTGTCTTCGCTAATAGACACGGGCTAATGTCAGTAATAATCTTAAAGGATGGAAAAGCAATAATTCATTTTTCGCCATTTTTCGCAAAGACTTATCCATAGATAAGACTCTAACATCATTGTTAAGAGTATACCTACTTACTTGTCTCTTAAAGGATGGAAAAATAGTCTAAGATTACCTTAGACTATGGAATCCATTACTGACACTAGCCCACTTGTCTTGTCAGAATATATTCTAGATATTGACGACAGTGATCGAAATTAAATACATAAATTCATTCTTCGTGAAAAAGGGTGACTGAAAAATAGGTATTACTTAAAGATTGGAATCCTTATGTGAAGATTTTGAAATAATCTCAGACCACAAAGAACTATGTTGCTGGACTTGCAAAGCACCATTGCCGTGAAGTGCTCAGATTCCCTCACGTATACGTTTATTTTCTACACTCTCATTTCGATTATAATGAGTAAATAATCTCAGTACAGAGTACTAAAAAAACCGACCTCAAAAGTACGTGGAATTACGTCTATTTGCTAAGTTTCATTGAAATATCCCCTTGTTCGCCACTATACAGGACTTGATACTGGAGATAATAAAAATAGGTGCTCACTACGACACTATTCAAAGTATTTAGAGAGAAAAACGCCTTGAATTGGAGAAGTAGCAAAATCAACTAAATAATTGCTAAAAGTAATTGCTCTTAAATTAAAGTTAGGCGCTATTTATAAAAATGAATGTTCATGCGTGAACAGCCACCCTTTGGGGTGGATGATTTTCTTCAAAATGAATTGGGACCACTATGGAAGTACCCCTTTCCAACAAAAAAAGAATCATGAAAATCGGTTCACAAATACCGGAGTTATCGCGTAACATACATACAAAAAAAAAACAAAAAAAAAAAGAAAAAAAAGAACATACAGTCGAATTGAGAACCTCCTCCCTTTTTGAAGTCGGTTAATTACAAAACGTCAACGTCATACAAAATTTTAATTCTATTAGTACGAAATATTCCTGTTACTCTTTTCATACGATTTCAAAATTGAAGTCATGCACGCACGGACTCCTGAACTTAAGCATCTACTGCAACACAGACAACACCTGCATCCTGAAAATTTTCCTGAGTCGCTAAGTTCACAGACTACAAATCTGGCTTTAAAGACTTTAATAATCAAGTCAAAGTCAAAGTCAAATAATCATTTATTCCACGTTGGTACATCAATGATTCCATAAGTAAAATGTTTACACTGGAAAACGTAATTTTTTAAGCTACTGCTCGTTCACTACGCTGCTCTCCCTGAGAAGCAAGAAACTCTAGGAATTGCTCTTTTCAAATAAACTTAAAAGCCATGGAATACACTTTGAATCATAATTATGTGGAATCTAGACTCATGCTGTTTTTCCATACATCTTTATCTAACACAAACTGTTCAATTTTGTAATATGACTTTTCAATTAAAATACTTTTAATGTAAGTTTTAAACGTAGGAAACGATAATCTCAATAAATGCTCCGGAATCTTATGTTCCGGGCGCGGGATTTTTTGTAATGTACGAGTTTATATAAACCCTACCATACTGAAACGCGCGGCCGACGCGTCCGGAACGCTTTCGCGGCCTTTGTGTGGCCGGAGCATTATTGTAAAAACGTATACAGTTCCCCTTAGCAGAATCGTGGAATCGAGAAAACCTTAGTTAAACGAAATCGTGGTACCATGAGTTAGTTCTAAGATTAATATTATGGTAATCTTCTTTGTTAATGAATAGAATCACCTCACTTTGACAGAGCCAACTTGAGTTGCACTTTTTTCCATCGTTCTCAGATCACGCGATTGATTATTATTTCATATTATGTCTAAGGTATATCCTCTGTAGAACTTTACTAAACTGACTGAGATGCCAAAGGCTGGGTATATGTATATGGGAATACTTACTGCATGCATTGTGCGGGCTTTTATTAATAAGTGCGAATTTGAGCTCCATCTCACCTGATACAAAGTGACGATGAGGTCGACGATGTAGCATGCACACCTAAATAATGCCTGTTCATTCTCGCAGGCAATCTGCAGGTAGGGAATTTCATTCCTTATCGCCGTATAATTGTGTAAGCGTATTTAATGTAGCCATAGTTCATGGTACAGACTTAAATAAACTTATCACGTACGTATACGTAAAAATTAACACGTTCCAAACACTTTTAGGCCGAAATTAGTATTTAGCAACTTTAATAACTACACTGCTATTTGATGGTCAAATGTATACACGATATCCTAGCTACAAAGCTAAGGAACTAAGTAGTATCTTTAGGCATCGCCAAACGTGTGACTTGTGTTGGATACAAGCAACCGGCAACTAGAAGAGAATATTCGCGGCGACTGTGTCCGGTTGCCGCAACGTTGCGTCGATTTCATATCAATTGTATGAAAATAGAATACTCGCTTCTTAGTTGCCGGTTGCTTGTAAACAACACAAGACACACGTTTGCGCGGTGTCTTAGTATTGCAAATGTATTTAGGTGATGTTTAACACTCAACAATGCTGCAATGGGTAAACCGTCTACCCTGTAAAATTTAATATCTTCAAAATAATAATATTAAAGCATTCTTTTAAATTAAGTTTTAATTATTCACATTAGGTCAATATAGTTTAGACACCTTATTACTCCATTGAGATACACTTTTACTATACTCGTTTTTATACCTGTTTTGTCACAATATCAAAAGTGGTAGTAATTTAAGTTTAATTTTTAATTAGTAACACTTTTGATAAGTTTGAGAGAAACGTCTTTCAGTGGCATCACAATAGGTCCTAAATCATCTTTGCAATGAACGTTTCAATATGAATTTCAGGGTCCACGCGAATTTAGATTAAACCTTCGCTTTGTCAGGCAGGAGCTATAAAAAAACGTGATATTCCGTTAAAAAGGATTTAAGAAATCATCTTCGCGATGATATCGCGATAGGGAATCGGAAAGCATTTAATTTAAAATTAACCATACTAGATATATTATATAGCAAAGAAAAATGTTACTTTATTGAAATAAAGCCTTTCAGGTCCCTGTTTGTGTTTGTTTGTGTTTGTGTTGATGTTTCTTAAACTTCAAAAAAATGCTTCGCATATACCACCCATGTTAATTCAGAACGCGTGACGTCACTGGTAGGTCAACAAAATTTTACGTATTGATTGACTACTGTCCTCTATCGAACAGCTTTTATTCAAAGTTTTTTTTATGATACCTAGTAACGGGTCGAACAAGTCGTGTGTCTGGTGGTAAGGGACAGACTGGTCCATTACAGTTGCAGTGCCTCTTAGGATTTTAAATCGCAAAGATCTGAACACTGCCACTGCACCCGTCAACTTGAGACAGAAGTTGAAAAGTCCCAATATACCCTTCAAAATCGGAACGCAGTAATGCTCACATTACCGCTTGGTAGCGGAAATAGGTGGCAGTACTTCCCTGGACGAATTCGTTCACGTTAAGAGCATGTATGAATGCCGTATGCGTATTAATGAAGCGAAAGATATTTATCAGGATCGTAGCAAGTGAAAGATTTTTGTCTATTCTGACCTCGATGGGAAAAGTATGAAGTATATAGGTATGTATTACGTAATAAAATTCACCGTTAAATACATGTTACCGCCCAAAAGCATGCACTGCACGGAGTTTCTTTCATGAAAGCCATAATGTTTCGTATCCAATGGCCATATAAAGAAAATAGTATAGACTACACTGACATCAGTGGTTTTGTCAGGAGGAGTAGAGGAGTCTTATAAGCATCACAGTGATCTTTTAAGCACGTGTAATAGATGTTACCGCTGAAGTCGTCAGATTTGTACGTCCATGGAGACGAGCCTTAAATGACCTCGCCGTTTATTTCCAACCATTCACCCAATTGAAGTAATTAATCTCTCTTCGAGCACCGTCGTAATTAAGCCGTCTTCCGTGGGTCCCACATTGATCAGAATGTTACTTGAGGTTCAATTAAATTAGTCTCGAATAGGAAAAATTCAATTTAAACTCAGATTTATATTGTAGTTTAC